CCCCCCCCCCCCGCCACTATGAGCGGCAGTTTCGGTGAGATAGGTACCCTCGAGATTGAATATTTGTGCCTCCAGCTGTGCCTGAACAAGGGAGGAGTCATGCACGACGGATCGGAGGACAGGGAAAGGAGGGAAACCGGAGAAGGACGAACCAGCTGCTTGTCCACCGCTCGCCTTTTTGTTAATGCGGCCATGAGTTCTTTGCGTGCCGCATCATATTTTGCCTTATCCTCTGGAGTGACTACGTCGCCAGACATGGTGTTCACTTCTAGGTAGGTGTTTAGCGACGCGCAGTGGCGGTCGTCGCGTTATCACCCCCGCGCACCGCGTCCGCACCGTCCGATACATTGATGCACATGATGTGAGCGCTAAGTCGCATTGCTCTGACTCAAGGAAACTCGTAATTCAGAATCAATTGACTTTGGACATGTGCTTCCCAAGGACAGGAGATAGGAGCCTTACACTTGCGTTTATACAGTAGATTTGTCCAGAAGAATATACACTACTCGAAAAATAGGTAGCCTTGGTCAACAACGGGGAAACAAAGAAGCGTTTGCGCGTCCGCTTTATTAGTAAGTCTATCATAGTCCGATACCAAGCTGAGCTAAGTACAAGTGTCCTCCGCGCGAAATGTCCCCGGAGTCCGAGATGGATCAAGTCGAGGTAGCATTATAGATAATTGGATTGGCCGTCATTGCAATTTTTCTACCGATAGTGCCCTGAGTTAGAGAGCATTCACGAGTTAAAATGAGCGTATCGATGAAGGATCAAGTTGGACATACTTCGCAGTCGTCCCACTCTTCCAGAACTAATACATAGAATGTGGCATTCGTAGCGGGATTTCCGCCGCCAAACCCGCCCTGTGGCTGTGCAAAGTTTGGCATTGTTAGATTGGGAGGCGCAGGATTAGTTGGGTATGGAACAGCTGAGCAAGCGCATTATGAGTTTGTTGACGAATGATAAGGGGGAAGGGTTCACTAACCAGGGTAATTTTCCGCATCATATCGTCCAAAGTAATACCCACTCATGAATTGATTCGAAGGCGACATAGACGTAGGGAGTTCGGTGGCGAGGTATACCGAATATGCGTAACTTGATTTGCAGTAGTCGGCATTGATGTTATAAAAAAAGTCAAAAATGCCTCCAGGAGTGATTACAGTATATGGGGCAGGCGCGCTGATAGTACCTGGCGTGCCCTGTGCCATAGCAAACTGTATTAAAGTGAGAATACTAGATAGAGATATAGCCAAAGTGTGCATAATGGATAGCGTTTTGAAAATTTAGTCGTTTGATGAATGAACCTATCCAACAGCTGGGGCAGAGTGGATCATGACGCGAATTGGAGTCTACCTTTATACCAGCTGCCTCTGGATCCGAATGTCCTACATGAGTAAGGTTCATCCGCTCCAAGGAAGCATTGAAACAGCATGTCCCCACGATCGGAACTTGCAATCTGGAGAGGACGGAGTAACGCGAGCCCTCGTTGCCAAGCCTGCCAGCTGGCATTACGATGAAATTGAGCCATACTACGAGTAGCAAACAAGGTGCAGTAAGTGGTCATCTGCTCGTGCCACATGCCGCCTGCTGCTGGCAATAAGTGGCTTGCAGCGCATTAGATCTCGGGCAGAACTCGCCGTGTCCTTATGATGCTGGGAATGTAGAACACCGAGGCCAATTCAGAGCGAGCGATAGGAATGCTTCCAGACGCATTCGAGCCAGCTACTGTGAGACTCCAGGGAAGATGTCTTCCTGGAGAACTCCGACTTATAGCTTGCAATGCGGCGTCTTCCATGTATCTTTCACCAGACCGAGCTGAACTACGAAGAAACCACTTTCAAGGCCTCCCCATCGGTTGAACGATGTCACATCAGATAACACTGGGCAAGAACTGTTCCGTTTTCCCATACATTCAGGCATTAGAAATGCACGTACTTCTGGTATTCGTACACCCTGCAAGAATCGTCCATAACGTATATTATCCGGCAACCTGCGAGATAAGGAGAATGAACTACATGAAGTATACGAGGGCATTCTTCTTCTTGCTCTGGACTGTTGGGCAGAGGGTGTAAGGGACTATGTGACGCGAAGGATAATAAGGTTACTCACCCTCCGAAATCCCACTGAGGAAGTGCTCGTGATTCAACTTCGTAGCACCTTCACGAAGGGCAATCATGCCAGCCTCCACACAAACAGCCTTCAACTGAGCACCGTTGAATTCGTCTGTACTCCTCGCTAGCTCCTCGTAATTGACATCCAGAGAACAAGACATCTTCCGTGAGTGAATTTGGAGAATACGTGCGCGTGCGGTCTCATCAGGTAGCGGGAATTCAATCTTTCTATCCAATCGTCCTGACCTAAGGAGAGCAGGATCTAGGATATCAATCCGGTTTGTCGCAGCAATAACCTAGGCGATTATATGAAGTCTCCGTATCATTATTATGGATGACCAACGTACCTTGATTCGTTCATCACTACTGAAACCATCTAGTTGATTTAGAAGTTCTAGCATGGTCCTCTGTACTTCTCGATCACCGCTCTTCTCCGAGTCGAACCGCTTGGTTCCAATAGCGTCCAGTTCGTCTATGAAGATGATCGCAGGCGCCTTCTCTTTGGCAAGCTCGAATGCGTCGCGGACGAGCTTCGCGCCATCACCGATGAACATTTGCACCAACGACGGGCCAGCAAGTTTCAGATAGCACGCTTGCGTCTGCGCCGCGCAAGCACGCGCTAGCAAAGTCTTACCAGTTCCTATGGATGTTGTCAGACTCGATGTGACACAGCGTGAGCAGGTAGAACGTACCAGGAGGACCATACATAAGACAGCCTTTTGGAGGTTTGATTCCGAGTGTCTTGAATTTATCGGCTTGTTCCATGGGAAGGACTATTGCCTCAACGAGCTCCTCGATCTGCTTCTCCAGACCACCAATGTCGGTGTAAGTCTCTGTGGGTCGCTCATCAACTTCCATTGCCTTGACTCTCGAGTCAAATTCGGCCGGGAGCTTGTCGAGGACGAGATACGAGTCTTTGTTTACTCCCACGAGATCCGCAGGCTTCAGCTGCTCAGCGGGGACAAGACCAATGAGGGGAAGGAATACGGTTTGCCGTGTTGAGGTCTTGATAACCGCGCACTTGCCCTTCCGCATGGAATCCAGATCTCTGTTGGCCCCATCCTCCTCTCCTTCTGGGTCCACATCCAGTATCTGTCGTTCTCGTTAGTAGCAGAATGAGGGTACCAGTGGGCCACTCACCTCGACCACATTTCCGACCAAATATGGTAGCACCTTGTTCTGTTTGATCTTTTCTCCGTTGTCCCTGATCTTCTCCTTCATGACATTCTGCTCGTGTTGTAAACGCAGCGTCTCCGAGCGCATGACCTGGAGAAGCTGTCTAAGCCTATAAATTTGCAGATGAGACCATGCTGACCTTCAAGTCATTGTCAATTAGCCGTATCCGTGTAAGTATCTCGTCGGTGCTCAGTCCCATGATGTCCTCGGGAATGTCAGACCAGGTCTCTTCAGCGGGTTGGTCTGGCGTAGTGTCCATTGCATTTGGTTCTGTGGAGGTCGTTGGTGTTGGCTCTGGCTGCTTCTCATTGTTGTTTTCCGGTGGAGGGACTGGTGGTTGCGTTGAGGACATGCCGACAGTTGTGGTAAAGAGAATAGCAGTCCGCGGTTGAGAGGAATGCAAGGACGCGTAAGACGCGTCGCGCCAATTAGTAATTACATGTGAAAATGTAAGTCATACGCAAGTCATTCAAATGATATGTAATTAATTTCGTCTTACTTGAGGTGGGCTTAAATTTATACAGATTTCGCACGCGGACTCAGGACTCAGATGAAGGTTAGCAAAAGGTTAGCGCGCGCGCTGCTTTTGATCAAAACTACAAGTTTCATGATGCAATAACTGGTCTTCTCGATGCGGCTCTTTGAAACACTCCCTAGCGCACCCAAGCAAGATTGCAGCGATGTCCGTCCGCGTGCTGACAGTGTGCTGACTGATGCAGGGCGGCCCGTATTCAGGGCGCATATACCAAATAAGGCAGCTCGTGAAATATAATAAGAACCCAGTTCAAAGTTCGGACCATCCCAGGACCAGAACTCAGCAGGCAGCCATGTGGATCTCTCCTGGGTTCCCACTGTCTGTCCTCAGTCTTGCAGGTCAGGTCCCGCTGGACAAGCCCACCGCACCATCCCCTGCCATGTATCCTGCTACCCAGGATTTCGCGTTCAAGCAGGACGCGGAGACCTTCGCCCCAAAGGATCTCGTGGAACTCTCGCGACCTGGCACAGCTGTCGCCAATCCCGCTGGTGACTTGGTTGTCGTGCCCGTCACCAAGTACTCCATTGATGAGGCAAAGTAAGCGATCTTTTCATATCCGTTGCTCGTTTACTCACGATTCAATATTCTTTCCACTCAGGAACTACAGGTCGATTTATATCGCCCCGATCGAGCCGACCATCCAGCCGCTTGAAATTCCGTTAGCTAACGGGGGGGAGGCGTTCTGGCTTGATGCGCGCACATTGGCTCACGCCGTCGCCGAGGGGGACGACAATGACAAGGTCACAGCCCTCTACGCCATCTCGGTAAAATACGAAGCCGACTCGTCTGCAGGAATTCTTAGCGTACCTGATTCGCCCAAGCTCATCGGTAAATTCCCGACATCGACTGCGACGAATTTTAAGTACTCGGACAAGGCGAATACCCTCGTTTTCTCTGATCTAGTACACGCGGATGGTGATCTCACTGCCGCAAAGAAGAACGATGAGGCATGGGAGAACAGAGGTTACTCGGCCTTCGTATACGACGAGACTTACGAAAGGCACTGGGATACTTGGATGGGTCCTAAACGGCCCTCCCTTTTCTCAGTAACGCTTTCGCATACGCCGGGAAAGGACTGGCAGTTTGGCACTGACTTTGTCAACCTGCTGAATGGCACTGGGCATGTGCGTGCTGCGATCAACCCTGTATTCAACAACACCGTATCACTCATCGTCACACGTAGCATTCCCCTGTTGAACCATTTGGTGGGACAGATGATTTTGATGTTTCAGATACCCATGTGGTATACACCGCATTGGACCCGACCCTCCCCCCTGCCTGGCACACGAAGCAGAATGTATGCCATAGTCACCTTTACTATGTGTCGGATTCGGACTCACGATTACGATAAGATTTACATCACAGAGTTGGGTAGCGAGCAGAAGCCCAGGGAACTCACCTCTGGAGTTCATGGTGCTACTCACGCTCCAGTATTCAGTACTAAGGGGGATAAGGCAGCTTGGCTACAACTAGACAAGGACGGCGCTGAAGCTGACAGGTACGTTATTGGTTGGGTATCACAATAATTACGCTAAATCCGATCATCCATAGAGCGAAAGTCGTCGTATACGATCTCACCACGAATGTGAAGTATACTCTCACTCAACATTGGGACCGTTCTCCAGATGCCCTTGCCGTATGTTCGATTCGTTATGCCGTAACGTTACGGCAGCATGCTGACATCTAGAACACAGTTCTCGAGCGACGACAAGACTCTTTACTTTACGGCTGGTGACCATGCACGCATAAAGATATTTGCGCTCCCTATTCCTGCTACTCCGTCAGCCTCAACAGCTGATCCGGATCTGTCAGAGGTGTACAAAACGCCTTTGGAACTCACGTCTAGTGGTGCTGCATCTGGCGTGCAAGTATTGTCAAACGGAAGGCTGGTGTTTACGCGTTCCTCGCTTGCCTCCCCCAACGATGTGTTCGTGTTACATGGTTTAGACAGCTTAGATCTGCTCTCTAAATCGTCGCGCGAGTCATTCAAGGGACAAGTAAACCAACTCACTCGGTTCTCTGAAGATGCGCTCAAGGGAAAGAACTTGGATGCCGGAGAGGACTTCTATTTTGACGGAGCTGAGGGCGTAAAGGTGCAAGGATGGATCCACAGGCCCCCTGGCTTCAAGCAAGGCGATACGAAGAAGTGGCCCGTCGTCATGTTGATCCACGGAGGTGAATCACATCCGATGTTTCTGTCTGTTCGCGACTGACAGCGTTGGTTAGGTCCGCAGAGTGCTTGGGCAGATCAGTGGTCGACTCGGTGGAATCCCAACAGTGCGTTCCTTGCTGGTATGAGTGCGCTCACACAAGCCTCATGTTTGCTATGTAGTCTTCGCCCAACAGGGATATGTTGTGATCGCTATGAATCCTACGGGCTCTACATCATTCGGTCAAGGTTTGAATGAATTGCCGATCATCTGATGTCGTGCGTTGTAATGACGCGGAATTGCAGAATTCACCGATGCTATCTCTGGTGACTGGGGAGGGAGACCATTTGAAGATATGCAGAAAGGCTGGGCCTACGTCCTCAAGAACTATCCAGAGGTATTACTAGTGATGATTTACGACTCATAGTCATTTACCTTGTACAGATCGACCCCGACCGTGCAGTCGCTGCAGGTGCCAGCTGGGGTGGATACGCCATCAAGTGCGTATATCCGCAACATTGTTTCGCTGCGGGTCGTTTGTTTCTAATATGATGAGTTTTACAGCTGGATTCAAGGTCATCCAGAGTTTGGCTTTGGCTTCAAGGCACTTGTATGTCATGATGGGGTGAGTCTATCGTACTTTCACGTCCATTCCTCGATGTTAAGCGTCTTGGCATAGGTCTTCTCTGCAACTTACAACGGGTATTCTACCGATGAACTCTTCTTCGTAAGTCCTTGCGCGATTTGCTCTCTAGGGGCATGACTAAATTCTGAACCTCCACATAGTTCAACAATGAATGGAGAGGTCGTCCGTGGGACCCCGAGGCTAAGGCTCTTTTAGCAAAGTAAGTCACCAGATTCGACTTCGCTCACTATCTCACATGCCGTTCCAGATACGATCCTACCAACTTTGTCCACAAGTGGTCCACGCCCATGTTAGTCATACATGGGAGCAAAGACTACCGTCTCCCCGAAACAGATGGTATTGGCGCCTTCCACGCACTTCAAGAGTAGGGTCAGCTTATGTCATACCGATACATATCGTTAATCCTTGTGTATCTTAGGCTTGGTGTTCCCAGTCGCCTGGTGCTCTTCCCTGATGAGAACCATTGGGTGATGAACCACGCTAACAGGTTTGTTTCCCGCGTATTGTGGTCACTTTGAGAGAAACTGACATGATGCGATCTTAGTTTGAAGTGGCATTACGAGGTTTTCAGATGGTTCGAGAAGCAGTTGAACTCAGGCCGATGAACATCGAGGTCGATTTCGGTTCATTCTTGCTGGCGTGTCTAAAATGGAAACTGTATGGTCTGTATACCAGGACTATTTGAATCCTCAATGAAGTAAATTCGTTCAGTGATCATTGTGATGGTCAAGCTTCGATGGAACCTTCTGGTGTCCAAGCGGAATCGCTTCCACACGACGCGATCACATGATGCGGCAACCTGTAGGTATAATTACGCGCTCGAGTCGAGTCGTTTATAGCCTGTCCTTCGCGTCGTCACTCCTCGATTTTCTGTCTGAATAGGCTTGCAATGGCAGCTCAAATGAAGTCCGTCCCCGTATCGCAGAATGTCGGACTAGAAGTCAAGAATTACGCAGCGACAATGGAGATCCTAGACGAAGGCTTCTTGGTGCAGTATGCTGGTATCAACCCTGAAACGGGCAAAATATGGAAGCCGATGTGGGTGAGTAGGGACTAGTGTAGTCCACTGGCCATCGCAGAGTGAGAGATCAGCAAGGATCGTAAGGAAGGTCGGTCATTTGTTAGATCTCTCACGCTGGAGGACAAGTCTAAACGAGTCTTACAATGGTACTGCATCTTAGCTGGCTTCTTGAATTTGGCTATGAATCTTCCTGAACCGCTTGCGAAGGAAATGACGGTATTGCCTAAGTGTGCAATGTCTTCTGGGACGAAAGCGAACTTAATGCCCAATGAGGCTGTTGATAGTCACGATTTGGAAGGTGCATCACAAAAGAAAATGAGACGCGAGGCAGACGGGTCCCCACAACTTAAAGAGGACAAAGCGAGACTGCGGGCCCGAGTGCGCAAACCAACTAGTATATTCATTCCGAACAAGAGTAGGACTGTGTCCCAATCCAGCATGATTCACAGGCAATCTAGAGGCATCGTCTTTTCGAAAGATCCAGATCCAGAGGTTATACAAGCAGTGTCACAACAGACCGACAATTCTCGGATGTCTCTTGGTGTGTCTTACGCCAAATCAAGCCTCCATTCGCTGATAACTGCGTTCCTTCTGCTTGTAGAGTCGGGTTTACATTGGATGTTAGATCCGATTATCTCGTCAAAGAAAGGAATGGCAGTAGAGATCCGTGGAACTGCCGGTGATAGCGGTTGGTTCCAGGGGCAGTATGAGGATCAACAGGGTGCAATTCTTTCTTCGTTTATAACAGGAAGCTCTTCCTTCGCGTCGACCGCTTGCACATGAATCTTGCATCCCGTCGATCCGTCTTCCAGCATCACTCATGGAACTCGAGACCAACTCAAGTCGGATAATCCCAGCTTGTTATCAGGACCGGCAGCAAAGTCTTAGCTGGTAGTGTCAGATGTCTGTACCTCGTCCTCCTTCATGCTCGCACTCAGATGCCCCCTGTTAGTAGGTCAGCATTTGGAAAAAAACTGTATGCTGGGAATCAATTAAGAGACAACGCCCAGATGCTGTGTCTTTGGATACGGAGGTTTCTCCGCGAGCTTCGCAGCGTGGCCATGTCCAGTGCAGCGCAAGCCTGTTGCATGCATTCTCCCAAAAATCAGAGCTGCTTGGTCCGTACTCAATATATGTCAGTTCATCTCCATTATAGACTACAGGTTGAGTGACTTTATGCTGCAACACAATGCGACAAGAGAGAATGGAAAAACATGGACGACCGCTGCTGCATATGCATATAGTAGAGGACTTTCGACATTCTGTAGAGATGTGAACGGAGAGCGGACTTACTAATATTGTCTCTACTAGCCCAATCACCAAGCTCTCGATGCCCCGGTAGCTATACGTAGTACGCAGTACTTTTAAGCGCTCAGCCTTGCGCGCCATAACATGATGCATACCCTCCGCAGTGATTGCGCAGAAGTGCACGGCGTTTGTGTGATTTCCGAGAACGATCCGAGCACGAATGAGTGGTCGCTTTCTGATAAAACGTCCCTCCTTGCACTAATCCGCAAATCTACCGCCCAGCAAGTTCAAAATAGACGACTGCGGCTGCTTCCAGAGAAACATGAGGCGGAACATCAAAGCTGAGATGCCGTCTGCTACGCGTCGCCCTTCCAGTCTAAAATACTGGGAGTATGCTAGAGTCCGTTGCTTGAAGGTGCCACAAGCGATAGATTTCATGTTGGTGTTTGTATCGTTGTGTAAATGTGGGCCCGACAAAGCCCATTTTCAGGCAGAGAGCAGGGCTGCAGAATCTTCTGGCGGATTGCGCTATGCCTGCCAGCCGGCACGGGCGACGCGTATAGGTATCGGCACGGGCTATACGTACGGTTATGACACCTCGCACGAAGACACAGGAGAGAGGATATACAAAAGCAGGGGGGGATGAAAACAGCGATTAGCATTCCCCACTCATACCACCATAAAATTGTCACATCATGGTGGCCGCAAACTTTAACATCAACCGCCCCGCCCCAAACGTCCCGTTCTACACACCTGCGCAGAACCCCCCCGCAGGCACTGCGATTGACCCGCAGCCCGACGGCCGACCGATTCCCAAGCTGTTCCAGCCACTCCGGATCCGTGGCGTCGAGTTCCAGAACCGCATCTTCGTGAGTGCACTTTTTTCACCACGCCAGACACAAGCGTAAACGGACCGCGTGGACAGTTATCGCCGATGTGCCAGTACTCCGCGGAGAATGGGTTTCCCGGTCCCTGGCACACTGCACACTGTAAGTCTCTGCGAGTCCTCCGCCCCCGTCGCCGTCCTCACGTCCGCCTCACGCGACAGTGGGCGGCATCTTCACGCGCGGCCCGGGGCTGACGTTCGTGGAGGCGACGGCCGTCCTCCCCGAGGGCCGCATCTCCCCGCAGGACACGGGGTTGTGGTCCGACGCACACGTTGCGCCGTGGCAGGAGATCGTCGCGTTCGCGCACTCACAGGGCCAGAAGATCGGCATCCAGCTTGCGCACGCGGGGCGCAAGGCGTCCACCGTAGCACCGTGGGTCATCGGCCGCAGCGCGTCCGTGCTCGACGGCGGCTGGCCGGACGACGTGTGGGCCCCGAGCGCGGTGCCGTACAACGAGCAGTCCCCGCAGCCGCAGGCGTTGGCCACGGCGGGGATCAGGCGCGTCGTGTGCGCATTTGCGGATGCGGCGCGG